CTACGATAGCAAGATGGTGTAAAGCTGTGTGTTGTATTCACTGTTGTGGTAAAGAACCTGCGATAACTGCGCCAAGGGGAGCATGTAGATACTGAATAGGAGGGGCCGAAGAACAGTGCCTTGAGGAATCCCACATGTGATTTTTCTGGTCTCTGATCTATAGTTCCCTTCTGACACATAGAAGTACCTGTCCTCCAGTTAGGATTTAAACCAGTCCACTGCTGTACTAGAAAGGCTAACCCAGTTTTCCAGATGCTCTAATAAATTCAAGTGATAAACAGCAATATCCAGATGTATTACTCCGACAAACTTCTTTTTGATGTATTTATAATCCTCAATGATTTGTGTAAATACTGATTTTTCAGAATCAAGAGACTGACAGACTGCAAATGCAAAAGTCAACTTTTAAAAAAAACATTTTCTTTTACCCTCTGTCGTCATTGTAATCTGGTTCACTGTCATCAGCTATTGACCCAGGGCTTGATGGGGGTGAAGCTGGTCTGCAAACAGGAGACAGAGAAACATGTTCAGGAAATGTTAACATTGTTTTCAAAATGACAGGCGTATCCCCATCCAGTTACCACTAGAAATATGCACCCTGGCAAAATGATGTAAAGAAAACCAAATTAAAGATGTCTTATTTCTCTGAATTTGACCAATACCAATTCAGAACCCAACGTAAGTGATCACTGAACTTTTCATTATGCACCATCTGTACAAAATCATTTTTACAACATCACCATAAAAAGTAATATTAATGTTTCTAAGCTTTAGCAGTATTCATTTCCGGCACTTTTTAGTTAAAAAAGACAGTTAATGAGGAATGTCTGCAAGATTGAGATTCCATTTAGAGGATCTTTAGCTCACAGCTTTAGGGGAGTTTCATTCATCTTTAGGGGAAAGGTAGGGACATGGAATCTGAAAGGGGTAAATGTTTCAACTTCCCAAAAGATACCTCCTTTGCAGAGGATCCCTGATCTATCCAAATGATTTCAGATCCTCTAAGAAGGAAGAAGGGTATAAAAACTTGTAAGAATGTGAGTAATTTTGGTAGAGTTCATTGAGGTGTTTAAAATGTTTTGAAGAAACCAAAAACTGGGGAGGACAACACTCCCCTAAAGATGCTAAAAGCCCAGCAGACGTGGGGTCTGAATCTTTGACAAAGGGAACAGAGAAAGCGTGTCCCAAATATAAAGGGATTCAACAGTGTTAAAAAGGAAGCTTAGTTCAATTGTTAAACCTCAGAACAAGAAACAGCAGTCAGACTTTTATTCTGGTAATGAAACATCTAACCAGGTCTTCTTCCTCACCTGAAAGGCGACTAAAGTTGTATAGTTGGTACATATTTTGTCTCATCAAACTTTCTCTCAACACATTTATTGGGTATAATGTTTGATTATGTGTGGCTAAAGATCCTTTAAATGGATCTCCTATATCCTCATTCAGATAACAGGTCACATGAATAATAAGTATGATGCCTTAAGAAAGTAATGCAACTCAGTCATTATGTGACCTCTCCTCATAAATTATGTGACTGCCTTATTTGGATCGAATCTAGTAAGATCCCAAAAAGACAAACAAACAAAAATTGAGACTAGGCAAAATAAGACATACAATAAGTAAATAAGACATGCAACTATAGATAGTTTATCTAGCCATTCTAATGTTCACCAAAATATTTGCAATATTTTATAACATCAGAACGTTTTAGTAAATATTTCTAAGCACTTTTTTCCTATCTATGTTACTGTGTTCCCACATACAGACATTAGCCTCCAAACCAATAAAAACATTGTTTTGTTCTGTTTCTTACATTGAATCCATTCTTGGAGTTTTCTGTTCTGTCTCAGGACCAGGAGCCGTTAAGCTGACTGTAAGCTGATTTCTGTGGTTAAACAAAATGCAATTAGCTTTAAATCTTTTCTACATTCATGGAATTGCTTTGGTTATTTTTAAAGAAATTCAAAGGTCAACTTTAAATCTGTTTAGGTATCTCATTAAAGCTAGGGTTATGTATTTATTTATGTTTTATTTTTTTGCTTTAGTAAAACCATTAATGTTTATCTATTGCTTCCATAAACCTGGTAGTGTTTATACATTTTCATGATCATTTTCACCAGCTTCAACAGTTTGTGTCCACACCCAGTTACTGAGGAGACTCACCTGATCGTTTTACCAGTGAGCATCCTCTGCAGCATCCTTACCATCTCCTTTTCTGTCACTCATTTCTAGATTCCTCTCTTGTTCTTATCTTAGGTTGCATCCTGTGTTTCTCACTTAAAGTCTCAGGCAGTATTAGTTAGATTTTCTTTAGTAATTCACTTAAGTCATGATGGTCATCCCTTTTCCTCCAATTCCTAAAGAACATATGAAACAAAACAAAAAAAAATCACATATGGTTTGCAAAGCTCATAAAAACATAAATTTTGAAGTTTTCATATCAGTTCAAATGGATAGCAAAGACTTTTAATGGCTTTTTTTATAGGTACATTTCTTTATATTGGGGAAAACTCTCCTTCTTGCATATTTAATCCCATAATCCCAACCTAAATTTTTTGAGGAATCAAACCTTTATTTTAAATGTGTTTTTGTAATTGAGAAATAAATATAAAACTTAGTTTGGACTAAGATCTCCTTTTAAATGTATATAACTTTTTAAAGTTTATCGAGCAACTGTGACAATTATAAACTTTGAGCTTTTGACCAATGACTTTCCGTTTTCGTTGGTTGTAACATGACACAGAATTCCATTTATACATTTCCATTTATTTCACAATTCAAAATGTGAAAAACAGATCAACAATGAAATTTTTTTTCGCCCTTTTCTGATTTTGTTTTTTTTTTCAGTCATTTTTATCATTACCTCCGCCAAGAAGGTTATATTTTAGTTGAGTTTGTGTGTTTGCTTGTTTGTTTGTTTGTCTGTCTGTGTACAGGTTAACTTGAAAAGTTAAGATTTTTGATAAAATATTTAACAAAAGTGCACCTCAGTCCAAGGAATAATCCTTTAAATGTTGGTGATGATCCACATCATAATCCAGACGCAGGAATTTTTCAAAGGATTCAGCTGTGTCTTGTCTTTTCTGAGCTCTCTCTTCATGTCACCCGTACTCAAAAAATGGATCTGGTAAGCTGGTCTCTCAATGCAATTGATCAAATTTATTCAACTGGAAGACAGGGAAAGGGGGACCTGTCCTGTCCTGCCAGGACATATTTCGTGGGATACACCATGGACTCCTGGAAGGCTTGGAGGGTGGTGTGTTTCACAACATTGTCAGTGGAGGATGTCAAAAGTGTGTGGAGTTTTGGTTTTATGATACTCGGATTTCTCCTGTTTGGATATGGAGGATACCTGGTGTATCTACAATTACAGAGGATGTCGGCAGCAATTTGGACACTGATCAGGCTGCCGGCAGTGGTTGACGCCCTCACAAAGGCTGTGAATGAGCAGGATCGGGAGATGACCTGCATGCTGGGTGCGATTGAACGCAGGCTGGCTGAGGTGGTTGAACTCAAAGGTGAGATGGAATAATAACTTGGATGTGCACGCTTGCTTCAAGGTAGAAAAGCCCAACAAATTTGGAATATTAGTCATGCCATGAACGTCTGTCAATGTCTGTCTCGTGTTTTTATGTGCTTTTGTTGTGCTGAGTTTTTTTTACATATATATATCTCAAGCTGTATCCTTGCAATGATAAAGTGTGAAATGTGCTTTTTTCCCTCTCTTCCCCAATGTGGCTCCTATTTTTCCACAGAGATAAAGGCAGAGCTACAGGTAACCACCTGGGAAGCCAGGCAGGAACCTGGCAAGCCATAAGAATGCGCCAATGGCAGCGTTCTGTGGCACGCATGGCCTTAGTAAATCAGTCCCTCCCCCCCACCCGTATGTATGTGATGTATTGTGATGAACGGTTTGTACTGAAACTGAAATTTCGATTGCAATCTAAATTGTAGTTGACAATAAAGATTGATTGATTGATTGGTTGGTTGGTTGGTTGATTGATTGATTGATTGATTGATTGATTGATTGATTCAGCATCGGACATCAAAAAATCTAGAAGTATTGTACTGAAGACAAAGACACAGGAAAGGGGAGCCAAGCCTCACTCGGAGTTTCAATCTGATAATCTAATAAGAAAGCAGTGTGAATGAAGGAGGTGAGAGCAGAACAAACACCAGAGGCTGCAGACAAAAGCTGTGGCTTTTTTATAAAATTTTTAAAAGGATTTTAAGGAAACAGTTACCAAAAGTGCTCCTCATTCCAATGCACAATTAATTTAAATTTGGTAATGATCCAAATCATGAGTGAGTTTTAGCTATAAATGTAAGTCAGAATATGGGGAAAAATGTCCTGCTTGGTGGATACCTGTGCTCTATGAGGGATTTTCTAGTTATTTATAAGTTCAGGTTATTTAGAAGAACAAAATGTGGCAGTCCAAATTATCAGTCTAAGCTTCCAGCTAACAAACTGGTTTCTAACAGCCCTGCTATCCCGACATGCACACAGCTTAAGATGCACCTGTTCACCACGTTGCATGAAACTCCTTGTGGCCTTTTTATTTATTTATTTTATTTATTTATTTATTTATTGCTAAATTTAATTATACGATGAACATAAACAGGGGCAAATCTGCACATCCCCAGATATGGTAGTTGCAGCATAAGGAGCTAAAGGAGATCTCACAGCTTGTGGATATTTGTTACACATTTCAAGCATCCAGTGCTGATTGTCAGAAGATTAAGTTTATTGAATCATGTCAAAACAATATCCAGACAAACGTTGTAAAAGTAAGATGGACAGAAATAAAATGTTAGGTTTCTGTTTCTGTTATGTTTTTCTTTTGCTCCTTGATTTCTAGTGTTTAGTTCTATTTTCACCATGTTTCTTTATCCTAGTTATTTGATTATTATTTTTTTGTTGTTTTCTTATTAGTTCCTGTCTTCCTGGTTCTCCATTTGTTGTCCTCTGTTGCCCTCTTGTGTCCTCTTTCTCTGGCTCTGTTTTCTGTTCAGCCCTCACCTGTTTTCTATTCCCTCATTAGCCCTCTTCCTGTCTCTGTCCCCTTTAAAAGCCCTCCCTCCTCAGTACCTGTTTGCTGGATCCTCTTCTTACATCTTGCCTAACATCTGCCTGCCTTGGCTCGTCTCTCCCTGGCTCCTAGAGTTTTGGTTTACCCCTGATGTCTCCTTGGTTCTGGTACGTTTGTTGTTTTCTGTTGGATTTTGATTCCTGCCCTGGTCCTGTGAACCTTAATTAACCCACTTAAATTCACCACTGCCTACTGGTTTCTGCATTTTGGTCCACCCAGCCTACACCGTTTTCTGACATAAAATAGAGCAAACTTAAGTCCCATTTGTTCATAAAGTGACATTAAGAGATTTTATTTATGGAAATTATTTATGAAATGCTTATACAATAATGTAGGTTTGTTGAAATTCTACAAAGGAATCTACGAAGGACCCTTATTCTGGCCAAAGTAGGATTCTTAAATAAAACATACTACCCATGCCATGAAAAAACTTTTTTTGTGTGTGTGTGTTTTTTTTTTTTTTTTTTTTTTTGAGGGGGGTAATCTCTTATTATTTTAATAAGCCATATAACATGCTATGATGCCAAGTTTATAACAACTTTTGTGGCTTAACCATGCTTACATGTTCTTCACACCAAATTCTGACCTTACCATCCAAATGTTGCAGCAGACATCGAGACCAGGCAACATTTTTCCAATCCTCTATTGTCCTTTTAGGAGACTGAATATAAATTATAACCTCAGTTTCCTGTTCTTAGCTGTCAGCAGTGGCAAACAGAGTGGTCTTCTGCTGCTGTAGCCCATTCACCTTAAGGTTTGACATGTTGTGAATTCAGAGATTCTCTTCAGCATACCTTGGTTCTAACAAGTGGCTATTTGAATGACTGTTGTCTTTCCTTCAACACCAACCAGTCTGGCTGTTCTCCTCTGACCTCTGGAATCAACAAGGCATTTTTTTACTCCCAGAACTGCAGCTCCCTGAATATTTTATCTTTTTTTTTTCCCATTCTCTGTAAACTCTAGGAATGGTTGTGCATTAAAATTCCAGTAGATCACCAGTTTCTTAAACACTCGGACCAGCCAGTCTGGCACCAACAACCATGCATCAAAGTCAATTAAATACATTTTCTTCTCCCATTCTGATGCTTGATTTAAAATGCAGCAGATCTTCTTGACCACATCTACATGCCTAAATGCATTTAGTTGCTAACATGTGATTGACTGATTTGAATTTTGCATTAACAAACAGTTGGACACATGTACCTAATAAAGTGGCAAGTCAGTGTACATTTTAACTGTATCTATCTGAGATTGACTCAGCCAGGAGATGCTGCTTAACTGAACTTTATTATATAATGTAAGAAGATAGTAAAAACTTCATTCATCTGAGGATCTAATTCAACATGAACTGTCTGGGTTTAACCTTCACCTCAAGTTTTAATGTGATAGCCAGTTGTATACAGTAATGTGCTAGTAGAGCTCAAGATTTTGATTTGCATTGTTAACAATTTGCATCTTATTAAACTGGTAGAAAACTTTGTCCTTTAAAATGTTTGTTTGTTTTGGTATTTACTATGTCTTTAATACAGAAAATGTTGATAGACTCAACATATATAAAATAGTACATTTTTATAGATTTTTTTTTTTTAATTGTCTAATTTACAGTTTTCAGGTTGTTTTAAGCTTTGATGTTTGTCTTTTCAAATACACACATGATTCTGAGTTTAACTATGCCCAACTAAAAAATGAAAAAAACTGTAATAAAGATTGCAAACCTTCCAAAGGTAATGATAAGATTTTGACGAGATTTTCTTTTTCCACTATGGACTCAATGGAATCAAGTTATAAAACATCAAACATTATCTGGAAAGGAAGCATCGAAACTGGTTAAACTAAGAAGAACCTCCTGATGTAAAATAAAAATGTAATACGACAACCTGGTATGAGAAGAGAAAATAAAATGTACTAAAACAAACATGGGAAGACGTTTTCAAAGCAGGAAACAAGGAAATCAAAGTTCAAAACCATGGAGGCATGAATAAAACAAAACCCGTAGGCTGTGACTGTGATGAGAGAAGAATGGAGTAAGCACTAGGAAATATAAGTTGTCAGCTTTGTTGTTACACGTGTTATTCCCAGAGAAAACAACAGATTATGTAAAAAACACTTTAATACATTTGAGATAAAGTAGAAATATTATTTCCTCAGAATCTGACAGCGAGCTTACAAAGAAAGAAAAGCGCAACTAAAATGAATTAAATCTGAACTACGGAAATGGGCAGAAATAGTAGACAATTAAAACTTGGGCAACAAATAAAGACAAAGACAGACTAATGGAGTACTTTTAAATATGCAAACTTACCAATAAGTCCTAAGACAAAGCAAAATATACTGTTTACTGTCTTAAATACAGTTTTTATGTTTAAAGTTGTTTCATAAGTCTTTAGCAACCTCTAAAATTGTAGCATAAAATCTTTGCAGTAAGCAGTGAGCCTAACAACAACACTAACAGTAACTTAAAAATTTTTTTAAGATATTTCAGATGAAAAGTTTTTCGTCTTACCAGTAAAGCTGAATTTAAAAAAAAAAATTCAGTGTCTTCTAAAGCATTTCACCTCCCTGTAGACATGGATTTAAATGAGCACAT